TGCTATGATTGGTTTCCATTCATACAACACAATCCCAAACATAGAAGAATGTGCCAATAAACTTTATTTCCATAACAAGAAAGACAACAAAGTGAAAACAATAACGATTCCAACAGGTGCATACGAAATAGGCGACATCTCAATACTCATACAGAAACACAGGAAAAAATACCACTGTTTTCAGTTAAACTGAACAATAATACTCTCAAGTGCGAATTGTTTAGTGATCAATACGTTATAGATTTCAAGCACGAAGATAGTATCGGAAAAATCCTTGGATTTTCAAAAAAATTATTAGATACCGGTATTCTTCATTCGTCCGATCTACCAGTGAAAACAGTTGAAGTGATTACTGTACAGATTGACTGTAATATTACAACAGGTTCATTCTATAACAGCAAACCGTCGCACACAATTTTTGAATTTTCCATTGACGTAGATGCTGGTTATGCTATAGACATTCAGCCCCGTAACTTTATATATTTACCTGTATCCGAAACACATACTATCAATAACATTAGTTTACGTATATTGGATCAAAACGGAGAGCTTGTTAACTTTAGAGTGGAAGAGATAATTGTTAGACTGGAACTTAAAAAATTAACTCAAAATGGGATTATCTATTATCTCCAATAGTAACACATATAAAAAGAACAAGTTTGCAACTTATGATTCAGTCTTTCGTAATCATTTTATGAAGACAAGACATTCTTCAACTAAAGCTCTAACACCTACAAACGTTTTGTTTTTAAAATCTTTGGAATACAATGTTGCCAGTCCATCATATATTCGAAAATCCATCGTTCCACAACTCTGTAATAAAAGAGGAATGTCGTACATATTATCCATTTGTAAAATCATTTGATAATAATGATGAAATTGAAATCACTATTAATCAACAAGATGCCTGGTTAGCGATGTATGAAGCTGCTATCTGTATAGATGGTAAGGTGTTACTAACAAGTAATTCTACTACCACTTCATCTAAAGTAGAAGTAGTCAATAACGCCGGCGCTTTTATGTTCGGTTCAATTTCGTACGAATTGAATGGAAAAGAACTAGATCGTGTACGTGATCCTGGTATTGTGTGCATGATAAGAGGTTATTTATGTTACAATCCTAACGATAGTAACCATATGGCTATAGCAGGATGGAATTTTCCATCCAATGCAATTTTGAATGCGGATATGACGTTTTCATTTCGCATACCCTTATGGCATCTTCTCGGTTTTTTTATTGATTTTAGAAAACCAATGTTTGGAAGACTGTACGTTTGGTTCGTTCCAGACACGATCATAATTGTCTAAAGGTCATTGGTGACGCAACGGCTACCATTCACATAAATTCTATTGAACTTTAAGTTAAACACATATTTCTAAATGATGCACTAAAATTGGATGTACTTAACACGTTCACTGCGGAAGGCGCCAATCGGCGACATTCCGCTCCCCACCACCATGCGTGTGTTGCCTGTCGGCGACATCGGTATGCTATCGTGTGCATTGTTAGTTGGAATTCAGCAGTGGAGCTGTCTATGTGAATTTCGGTCAGCATTACGTTACAGCATTAAAGTAAAGCGTGTTGTGTTTCGTTTTTCATTTTCCGAATTTTGGTGCCAGTGACAAGGTATTAAAGTCATGGATAGTGATAGTCCATCGAAACCTAAAAGGTCTAAACTACGTGTTAGAAACGAGAAAAAATTTACAGAAAATGAGTTGTTAATGCTTGCTTATCTATCAAGTGATGAAGAACTTGGAGTGCAAGAATTTGAAGATAGTGGTAGTGAGTGGGAGGGCACGGATTATTCTGATGGTGACTCGGGTAATGATATGTCGAGCATCTCTTTTAGGCCAAATACTATTCTTTTATCTGTTTTAGCTTTCAGCAGTGTCGGTGATGATGATGATGAGCATATGGATACTTATCATTTTGATGTAAATTCTCATTTTTATAGATCAAGGAATTGCAGGAAATGATAATGGTCCTGATTTAGCTAGAAACACGCCAAACTGGCAGGATGATCCTAGGTGCTTCAAAAACATTTCTTTTGTGAAACAAAATGAACCCTTAATGGATGTACCGGGAAATAATGAACCTATTGATTACTTTTTCTTATTATTTGACCAAAATGTTCTAAGTATGATAGTCGAGCAAACTAACAGTTACGCCATAGATGTTTTTTGTGAAAGAGGGAAAACAGAGAAATCACGAATTTCTCAGTGGAAAGATCTAACCATATCTGAGCTACTCAGATTTATAGGATTAATTTTAAATACGGGAACAATCAGACTAAGTAGATACCAGGATTATTGGAAAAAAGATAGACTTTTCGGTTTGACCTGTTTCTCGGAACAAATGAGTCGAGATCGTTTTTTGATCATTTTACGTTGCATTCACTTTGCCAAAAATGTAGCCAAATCTGATCCACAATCGGAAGATCGTTTATATAAAATACGTCCGCTTATAGACTACTTCAACAATAAAATGCGTGAAGTTTACTATCCAGGCAAGCAACTTTCCTTGGACGAATCAATGATGTTGTGGCGAGGACGTTTGGTATTTCGCCAATACATAAAAAATAAGCGTCATCCATATGGAATAAAATTGTATATGCTGACCGAGCCAAATGGTATTGTCCTGAAGTTCCTTGTTTATACTGGACAACTAGATGATATGGGAGGCAAGGGCCATACGACTAAAGTAGTGTTACATCTTCTACAAGACTATCTAAGAAATGGCCACTCAGTTTTTATGCACAATTTCTACAACAGCTTTGAGCTGTCAAAGCGCTTGTTAGAACAAGATTCTTATTGCACTGGTACCCTTCGACAGGACAGAACGGACAATCCAAAGGAAATAAAAACTATGAAACTAAAAAAAGGCGAGACAGTGGCAAGATATTCTGATGGTGCTATGATTGCCAAATGGAAAGACAAAAGGGATGTCACATATATTTCCACTGAGTTTGAAAACAATATGGTATCTGTTTCCAACAAAAGAGGGATAGAAAAAATAAAACCTCTTCCAATAGTTGAGTATAATCAATATATGAGTGGAATAGATCGTCAAGATCAAATGATGGCATACTACCCATCTGAACATAAAACTCTACGGTGGTATAAAAAACTGGTGATACATATAATTCAAATGGGACTGATGAACTCTTTTCACTTATACAACAAATACTCGGGGAAAAAACTAAACCTGTATGATCTTCGACTTTTGGTGATAAAAGCGTTGCTGCTAGAAAAGGAAGTCCCAAGATATGTTCCCAAACCTGGAAAACAATCTACCGAACATTTCCCTAGTAAAATAATTAAAAAAAATTCAACTGGCAGAATAGTACGAAAAAGATGCATTTAATTTTTTTAAACACAGGAATTACATTTATATATTTTTGTAAGGCAATAAAGTTTACTACGTAGTTTTCTATACTTTATCTCTTTTATGCACTAAAACTGAGTTGTCGCCCATAGGCGACATCAGCACTATATCGTGTACTGTGGTCCATAATGCTGCTGTCGCCTTTTGGCGACATAGCGATAATAATAAAAAAACTAAAATAGATTGTTGTTGACTCACAACACATTTTTTTGACGAATAACAACTGGTAATAACAAAAACAGATTCAGCTCCTCAGACATACGCGTTTGATTATACACTCAGTGAACGTGTTAAAAAGATAAAGAATGATACTTCGATACTTATGGGTTATAGAAAGTGGTCAATATATGAATTACCGTCCTTACCTCATAATGTCACGAAAACTATATGGTCAGTAAAGACAAGTTCGGCAATAGAAGTTCCAAGATTTGTTATTGTTGTCTTTCAAACAGCCAGAAAAGATGTTGCAAAAGCGGATAAGCAAAAAATGTATTGAGGAATATGAACAAAAACAAAAAATGATTGTTAGCTTCAGAAATATTCATATTTGTAACAATGTACCAAATTTAGGACCCAAATTGTGTGAATATTGAATATATTTACAAAATAGTCTTGCAGTAATTATATTGTTTTATTTAATCGTTAATGTTATCGAACTTACAAAATGAACTAATAAATATGCAGCTAAAAGTAAAATAACATGGTCCATTATATCAATTTCTTGTCCGTCTTCTTTCCCATTCTATTCAATAGCTTCTGCATTCGTTTAGCATAGCCACAATTTTTTGAGAATTTTAGATGATCCTTAATAGGACAATCGTCATGCTTCCATTTGTATATTATTATCCCACAACAAAACGCTTGGCAAATATCTTCACTTCCAACATAAAAAAAACCTGCTCTGCTAGCACTGCAGGATTAATGACTCCAGTCCATCCCTTTTTCAAATGTACTGATACGTTTATCATACGAATTGTATTCACTAAAATCTATAGAATATTTTTCAGCACACATATTCAAACAGCGCAGCGGTGCGATCAGTATTATTCTGTATTGCATAGGTGTATATTATTATTTATATATGACAGATATATCATAAAACACTCATACTTCGAAAGTCACTTGACATACGTCAACAAATTCCTAGTAGTTCACTTTCCTTAGATAGTTATGTTCAGTCGTAGCCACGCTGTGTTCGCATCAACTAGTTACCATGGAAGATAAATTCTGTACTAAATCTGGAATTGACACATAATTATGCACATTCAGTAAGTTCTATTATCATGGTTACATAAAAATATACATTAGCTAATCCATACATTTTTTGTAGGCTGATAGTTTTGATATGGATGAATTCTTAATCGGAAATGATATTTTTAATAATTCAACCACCACAGAAAACATGTGAACAACGATGAACTTCGCATAATTGGAGGTTATCTACGAAAAGTCAGCAGGCTATGCGAAAAGATATTCACCGAAATTTCAAGAAAATTAAACAAGGAACGTAAAAGACTTCAAACACTGGAACAAAAAGAACGTACTCAGTTACAAAAAATTAAGAGACTGGAGAAATGTGAGAAATTTGCATCCAAAATACCCAGCGTTCTATTACGATGGAACGCCAGGTGGCTCTGCCATTTAGTACAGAGATTAAAAACGAAGACAACCGAACTATAGGGTATGTGATCGGACATCACTTACATTATTATCCTATGACGACGATGAAAAAAAACTTATTACATTGCGGTAGATATGGACTGCACAAGCTATTCGGCCATGGAGGAAAACTAGACTATCGAGATCAAGGGTATACAGTAGAAGAATTTAAGAAAAAGTTTCCCAGAATAGCAAAACAAGATGTAAAATGTTTTGTTTATGCATAACGTACCTCAAAATAAAGATAGATAAACTCCTTACAGCGTGTCGCTTATTCTTACCCCTATCCTAAAGTACACAACGCAAACTTACCCGTATATCACCTACCCCAACACCTACCACGAACGCCACAAACGCTATCTACACCCCCCGTAGTACTCCCGCGCCACGCACATTTATTTACATACATTCTTAAAAGTCAATGTCGGAATCGACGTTACCAGAATCTACGAATCTCGTAAAATGTGGTAGATTATTATCATGATCGATGTTATGTAGGTCATTTACACAAGTATATTCTTCTTTCAAACCAAACAGTAGTTCCAAAAAGTTATTTTGGCATTATATATATTTAGATCTGTATATGCTATGAATTTCTTGAACCTGTAATACCATATGATAACGGTCATGACGAACAATGGCTCTTTTTTGATTCCTGAAACCTAATACAACCATAAATGCGTTACAGCAACCACGACATAATCTTAAATTATATTCTGGAATGTAACAAATGTTAACCCAAACACAATACTTTGGAAAAATATATATGTCTTCAAAATTTGATCGATATAAAAGTGCCTTCCTATGAGTTTCACTAGGTATTTCTCTTGTATGCTCCACGGATTGTATAATTAAAATATCTGATAAAGGATTATCGTGTGCCTCAAGCAATATTTTTGACCATGTAAAATTCGCATAACATTTGATGACTTCCACAGTTAGTGTCCATGGTAATGGTGACACATTAGTAAAAGTAATGATTGAAATTACACATTCTGCAACTTTTTTAAGTGATAATTCTCTAAGGCTTATCATACCTAAAATAAAATTGTACATGTTACATATCTTCGTTTGATACTATGCTATAATGTCCCGAAGGTAAAGTATCATGATTGTTTTTGATTAAATAACGTTTATCATCGTATGGACTGAGAGATTTTTTCAATAGCGTAATTGGAAAAATATTGTGATTCTCAGATCTGACTAAATTCTGATTAAATGACTGCAGTTCTAAATTTTTCAAACAGTTCAATTAACAATCAAATGTTATTTTCGTTTCAACTACAGATTTTTTGACTTTGATTTTCTTAGTAACACCAATATTTGACATAATAATTTCATCAGTATCTCCAGTACAACCACTTTCAAGCAGATGCAACCGCATATCTTCTATTTCCTTCTGCGTTGTTAGTCATTTTATAGAGTACATTTTTGACCTGAGACAAACGAATTCGGTTAACGGAATACCTTTATATTCATCCTTCATAATTCCCGGGACCTTTTTATTAACCAACGGTATGTTATACACATTATCTGTTGGATAATCGCTGGTATCAAAATACTGAAAACAATCTTGTTTGATTACGTCTATATAAAAATCTGCACCACATATGAGCAATTCCTTATTTATATGTGCACTGAATATGACGTGTTGACTATTGAGATCATCCTATACGTATTGTTCCCGCGAATTTTAGAATACATACATTTTTTCATTTAAACTGAATCCACAGAATTGCATCTATAATTACCATTATTCATCGGCTTTTATCGATCTATATGCAAAAATTTACTGCAAAACATGAAATGAGCCAGATCACTTACGTATAGACGTGTGTTCCTATCTATTCTGTTGAAAAATATAACTCGACAGTTTTCAATTGAAGGATGTATGACTATGTATCTCTTCCTTCTAATAAAAAAAAAACAAACGATACTCACTATTCAAATTACATATATATAGTTGTTGAGCTTGATTATTTCCATTATTTGTTATGATGTCACACTACGGTACAGCATACTGCCTAAAATGACGAAAACACTTCTGCTTCTGCCCAGAGTCTATAAATTATCACATGCTCTCAGAAGACAACTCTCTGGTTTGCTCTGAACCGATCGAGTCGACACCATCTCCGGCGACACCTACATCAATGACATCTGGTCCATCCACCAAAAACATGTAACAACAACCACAACAAGGACAAAGTTGCACTTGCAAGAAGAGGAAAAACGTGTCAGCCCTACCAAACCAACCAACAAGAAATATAACTGTAGAGGTACATTATGATAACAAAGGGAAATTATTATATAGAACAATTAAATACAAAACCACATGTAACTATGGGAAAAAATAAAGGTAGATAAACTCCTCACAGCGTATCGCTTATTTTTACCCCTATCCCGAAGTACACAACGCAAACTTACCCGCGCATCACCTACCCCAACACCTACCACGAACGCCACAAACGCTATCTACACCCCCCGTAGTACGCCCGCGCCAGCACCAGCAGAACGAGCCCCATGCGCATGCGCGCGCGCGCGAGTGTGTAAGGGGGATGGCCACGGAGGAGCGTTGGGAATTTTTTTTGTTACTCTCGAGTTACTGGTCTAGAATTACTTTTGGTCTAGAGAGACTGGTCTAGAACGTACTTTGGTCCAGAACGTGTAGTGGTCCAGAAATCCTATAAGTTTTACGGTACAATTTTACATGCTATTTTAGGTGGTCTAGTAATCCTATAGCTGCACTACTCATACGTCATTTATGTCACGTGTGTGACGTCATGTGACATACGTCACATGTGTGGCATACGTCATTTATGACACGTGCATGACATACGTCATTTATGTCACGTGTGTGACGTCATATGACATACGTTACATGAGTGGCATACATCATTTATATCAAGTGCGTGGTTGAACCAACGGTGAGCAATGTGTTGGAGAGAGAGATGCAAAAACAACAACGGTGGTCCAGGTCACCGCTGTTATCGTTGGCCAGTATTAACTCGTTGACAGCCTGCGCTCCCGCCATTCCCCAGTTCCACGCTTGACAGCCCCGCGGTGTACTTCTTGCATATCATCGCTGAACGACTATCTACCTAACCTTATTTGCGACGTAGGTGATTACCAACGCACCCGACCCCCCGCCGTCCACCAATCAACATATACCATCAACCCCGTTCAAATTTACCGCCGTCTGATCCACCAATCAGAGCACGCGGTGGGCGTGGCCAAAAGTGGAAGTGGTGGGGGGGCTACAAGGTGACCTCATATGTACTACAGTAGACACACCGGTATCCGCCGTAGCGCTTAACCTGTTAAAACAAACAGACCGTGTTCTATTATCAATTAGTAAAGTACGAAAATTTTTATTTGATAAGAGACGCGGAAATGGGGCTAAAAACGATTAAATATAATATATGGGGAAATGTACAATCAAGCTTTCAAATAATAGCCGGTTCTATAGCTAATTTACGTCATAAGGACTTGAACCAATTTTTAGCAGATTGTGTAGTTATTTTTAAAACTAAAATTAGTAAAATTTTGAAAACCCCCTCTACACTCAAAAGAAAAATACAACATTTTTTGTGGGGTTTATTAGGAAATCAGGGGTATAATGAAATTTTTGGGATTAAATATTTTAATACAAAAAATTATATTATTGATACGTCGACTCAAAATAGACGAATGGTTTAAGACATATGTAAAAGATACTGTTAAAAAAAATTAATAATTTAAGATGTGCTTTTCGTAAAGAACTGAAAAAAGTGCGTAAATCTAAGGGATCCGGTGAATCTTCCGATAACATTTATGTACCTACGTTGTGGTATTTTGAGCTGTTGATGTTCACGGCGGACCAAGAGGAACCTCGAGTATCATTATCAAACGATATTGAAAGTGACGAAGAAAATCAAATTGAAGTAAGTTTGCTAAATTTAAGCCTTATAGGGTGGCCCATATAAAATTATTATAAAACACCTTATTTCAGAAAAAAATTCAATAAGACAATGCTTTAGACCAGTTTTTTATATTAGATACTTATTTTCAGCTTAATATATTTTCACTTATACAGGGTGACTTGTTTTGGTAAATTGCAATTATTGTTATTTTAAATGGCACATCCTATACACGTATTTAATTTTTTCTTATCAAAGTGCCCTACCCATAGACTGTTTTTTTCAGGATATTTACAAATGGATATTGGCATTTCTCATAGGTATAATAAGAGGAAGAAATAAACAGTTTAGGCGCATGAGCAACATATCACTTTATTTTTACATACAATTAATTTTATGAGAAATTTTCTTGCCAGGGAACAGTTCCGAAACCTGAAAAATAATTTTTATACATCTTTCGGTTTTCTTTAGCTTCGTGGGATGAATGTCGATTTAGAATGGGCTGCACGCTATCGAGCATCATTCCATTGCGCCAATCGCCTTTTACTACGTCACCAGTATCTAAGACTTCGAAATCAACGTAATTTTTAGGAATGTAGTTGTTTGTATGTCGTCTCAGAAAGTTGTGCAACACCACTGCCGCTAATACGGTTTTGTCAACTTTTTCTGGCTTCATATGGATTGCTGTTTGGAACACTCTGAATCTATTGGATAGAATTCCAAAAGCATTTTCTACTGTGCGACGAGCTCGACTAAGGCGATAATTGAATATTCTTTGTTCTTTACTTAGGTTTCTATCTGGAAATGGTTTCAAAATATTTTCGTTTAAGGCAAAAGCATCATCTGCTACAAAAACAAAATTCATTTTGTTAATAGTTGTCTCATTGGAGGGCAATTTAAGTGCTTTTTCCAACAACTTGTCATATAATTTTGTGGTCTCAATGACCGCTCCATCCGATATTCTTCCATTGCATCCAACATTTACATAAATAAATTCGTAATTCGCATCCACGATAGCCATTAACACAGTACTGAAATATTCTTTATAATTAAAGTAGTACGATCCACTGTTGACGGGCTTGACTATTTTGATATGTTTACCATCGATGGCGACTCCCCAATTAGGAAAATTCCATCGACTGTTATAATCTCGTGCAATTTTCTGCCATTCTTCAACTGTATCAGGAAACTGAAAATAAATAATATGTATGTAGGCCACAATTCATTTAAAACAATATTTTATTTCAGGATGGAAATGGTGCAGAACAGATTGTTTATAATACTGATATGGAAGATACCAGTTCTTTATTGCTCGAAAATCCGGTTACACCATCAACTGAGTCCTCATCTCGAACTGCAAGCAGATGTTCAACAGCTGAATTACAGTCCCGAACTCCAAGTAGGAATCGAACAATTACTACTAATCGAACAAACCCAAAGAGATCAAGAGAAGACCTAATGGAAAAAGCATGCAAAACCCTATGTTCAGACGATCAAGACGAATTTGATATAGTTGGAAATAATGTAGCTTGCAAATTACGTAGGATGGATGAAAACCAGAGAACATATGCGGAACATTTAATAAATAAAATTATTTTTTTTGGAATTCAAAAGAAATTAGATTATCATAGTGATGTTTTTCTTAATATAAATAATTTTCAATTATCCCACACTTCACTAAGTCATCAAATTTACAATCCGAATGTCTATACTAATTATACACCAAATACAAGTTTCAATCAAAATCAAGCAAATGTCAATACTAACTATGGACAAAACACTAGCCTGAGTCAAAACCAAGCAATCCACATAGTTCAACACAATTTAGAAGGGACTTCTAATTCCGCAGCATTAATCAATAACGATGATAGTCAGGTGCCTCGACGATGTGATGTTAACCGAGAATTATCAGAATTGTTAATTTTAAAATAACTTAAAAAAATCATTCAAGGGTTATATAAAGAACTGAATGACATGTAAAAGGAGCACTAAAATCAACCCGTGTTGATGTAGATACATGTTTTGTACTTTTTGTACTAAAAATAATAAAGCAGTGAGTTTTTTTTATCTGTACTTGTTGATTTTTACTCACCTTCAAATATTTTTTCTTTAAGACCTTATAAATGCATTGACAAGTGTCTGGTATTATTCTTCCAAGAGCTTGAGGTGAAATAACTGCAGAGAATTTTAAATCCTCATTAAAGCACATATCCATTCTGAGATAGTTATTAAGGTCATTTGTGGCACTGGTTCTCAACTTTCGCACTAATGCCATATGAGATAATGTATCACGTTGCAACAACCAATCTTTTACCCAAAAACGTTTTTTTGCCCTTGTTATTGGCTCTTGTAATAATAATAGTACAACAAGTGCTGCGAGCTTTTTTTTTCTTAACATCTTAATTAACACCATTGTTGTTCTCTCGGCCGATCAGAACTGACAAAATGTTTATGTGAGTGGAGAAGGCACAGTTTTCCTGCAGTTCAGAACCTGTCAGTCTCAAAACTGCAGGCCGCGTAGTTTCAAATAACTGAATAGTGTATGGTCTGAGAAAGTTTGAATCTTCAGTTCAGGTTGTCCAGTTCCAGAACTGCAGACGAACTGTATGTGAATGGGTACCATAAGTGTAAGAAATTGGTTAAATGATCAGTTTCCGAATCGATGGATCGGTAGAGGCAGACCAATCCCATGGCCGGCATGCAGTCCCGATCTCACACCTATGAACTTTTTTGTGTGGGGTCGCATGAAAACTTGAGTATACTCTGATCAAAATCCTGTACCCACAATAGAAGACCTCAGACACAGGATAATACATGCAGCACAAGAAATTCAAGCCCCTCTTAGGAATTCGGCGGTAGTAAAATCAGCTGTCATAAAAAGAGCACGTGTGTGCATTAGAAATAGAGGGCAGCATATTGAAAATGTATTATAAAAATAAAAAAAATGTAGTTTTAAACAAATTATCCTGTATTAAGGTATGATTTTGTAAGTGCAAGTGCAAAATTTATGAATCAATAACATCAGCAGCAGAATTCATGGAACAGTCTCCCCACCATGGAAATTAACTACGGAAATTATGAAACAATTTCCTTTATATAAATGACATGCTATGATAAAAGAAGCCAAAAATGATCATGATTCTGATCCTTCATATACAGAAATTAACTTTATTACATGTCACAAAGAAATAGGTTCAAATTTAATTCATACTATATTAGGAAAATCAGATTGGGGTTATGTTTTTGAAGATTATTCTAGTTACTGTGTATGGTTAGGTGGATTTTGGCTTCAACAATATTGTCTTAATGTATGTAAAATTTGTTTTTCTAAATTTAAAGAAATGCATACAACTTTAAATAAACTATTTGTCTGGTATGATCATTGTCACGAGGTTTACGATGCTGATATTATTTTGTACGTATACCGACAAAAGTATAATTTGTGTCACAGCTGCTTTAAAAGCGTATTATTTGAATTAAAAGACCAGGAATCTTGCAGAGATGCCTTACATGATGTCTAGAAATAACATCCGAACCCGATTTGATGAATCTGATTTAGATAGCGATATTGACTTTTAAAAAAATTAAAAACATCACAGTAAACAAATTACAAAAAATATATAAAAATTGTTCGTCTAGATCCGTCCCAGTTTCTGTGAAACGAAAATATTTTACTAACATTTATATCATATTATATTTTTAAACATGTATGTAATTAGAATTAATAAATGAATATTCTTAAAAAATATAACCATTTTGCTACCATCGCATTTAAAACCGAACTCAAAACCTCACAACTTTCAACCACAAGTTCCGCCATAGTCAGCTCCAAGGAATGAACTGAAACTGAATTGTGAACCAAGTGAACAGTCCACGACTACTGCTGGTTCACGTTTCATCCCCCACTCCAGACAAGATTCTCGACAGCAAAATCGCAAGCATGCCACGCTGTCTTCTTGCCCCGTGAGAAACTAGCTTAAAATATTTACTGTCGCGCCACTGCCGGTCTCCAGTCCATACCGACAAACGGTAGACGCGGCTTTCTTTCAAATTTGCCACTGCCTTCAATTTTGATATCAGACTATAGAACAGTTGGACAAGCTGGAAAAACTTTTTGTACTGCGGGTATCCTAATCTGGGTTCTAGCAATATTTGTCTTCCGATTCATTTTAAATAAAAAAAGCTGTCTTCTGGTATGTAGATGTTTGCACTCATGTCAATGTAAAATAAATGGTAGGCATGTCCGCCTGACCAAATTAGGGATATACCGCGCATCTCGGTTATCTAGTGGCCTTGATAACATACTTTTAGGCAGACTTTGTTTAAATCATAATGTAGTTTAAATTTTTGATACATAACATATTTCAAAATACTAATCAGATAGATCAACGGTTTCCTTCTCTACCCCATATAACAATTTCTTGTGAGGTTGTCTAGGTTACGTTTGACAGTAGAAATGTGATAGTTTATTGACATTTGTAAACTACTATAACATAGTTGTCAATTTATAAAATGGATACGTACAGCGTGGAACAACTTGTGCAGATAATTCAATTTATGAAAATGGAAGTTCAAATAAAAATGTTTTTCGTGAATTAATTGAGTTTTATCACGGCTCAATCGTCCAAATGAGTCAGCAATATCGAGAATAGTGAGGAAATTTGAAGAGACTGGTTCAGTTTTAGACATAAAACACCGATTCGTCCACGCCAAAGCCGCTCACAAAAGAATACTGCTGCAGTTCGTGAGAATGTTCAAGATGACAGAAGAATGCCGATTCTGTGATTCCTTACGACTTGGCGGCTGATTGACTTGATTATTCGTTGATCTACCTATCGATGAACAATGACTGATGAACGAAGGAGGCGGCCGTTCAGTTTCGAAGAATATGCCGATATCCTTTTCTACTATAGAGATGCCAGAGGCAATGCTGAAGAAGCTCGTCGTGAGTATGGGGAAATGTCTCCTAATCGTCGCCTACCTGACGCCTGCGTATTTGAGGTACTGACAGACGTGCTCATTACTAGCACGAAAGCATGCTTTTATTGAGCAAGTGCTCATTAGTAGCACATGTGTAATGTAATGAGCATGCTTATTTAGAGCGTGCTCAAAAAACAAACAACGTTTGATTTTCGAGCATGCTACCTGAGGCGCGGGTAGGGGGAGGCGTGCTCCGAGCACGTCTGAAAAGGTTTGCTTATTAGCATGCTATTATCGATTCTGTCTCGAGCTGGGGCGGACGACTGTTTTACGTAATTAATTGAAGTAATTATTATGATAAAAACGAAAATTAAACTCGCAATATGTCGCGTTGAGGAGAAGAAAAAACTTTGCTTTTTGTGTCACATTATCGAAGTTACGAATGTCTGTGGAACACACATTCTCCTTTATATAAAAATAATATTGCACGTAATACTGATTATGAGGCTTTATGAGGCTACATGAATGATTCAAGTTTAACAATAAAAATAAATGAAACTAAAATTAAAAACCTAAGATCTGTGTATCTTGCCGAAGTAAGAAAAATCAACAATTCGAAGCGGTCCGGAGCTGGTGCAGCAGACGTTTCTAAACCACCCATGTCATGGTTTACGGAGATGAATTCATTTCTGGCAGACACGGACGATTATCGTGAAACTGTTGAATCCGACTTGGTGGTAAGTACCTATCTATTAAGTTATATGTTAGTCATATGATCTTGCCATGGCAATGCCTCTGTTTCGAAAAGTTGTGCATAAGCGTTTCTCATTGCCACCGCTCGTCGAGAGGCGTGATTACTTCGAGTTGCTGGTAAACTTTCCATGGCTATGCGCAAGTGATCTCTCCATGATCCTTGTATAACAACACAGTGTTGTGTCTTCAAAATCAACACATCGTTGGGTAATATACATATCGGATGTTTTTCGAAGCCAATTGTGTGAAGAACAAGCAACCAATGTAATCGTGTCAATTTTATCTGGTGTCATGTCTATATTGTTCAGAAAAACCCGAAATCTTGTAACTAAAATCCCGAAGGTTCAACTATTCGTCTGGCTCTAGACAAACGATAGTTGAATATTTTTTCTTTATGCATTGGTGTCGTGCCATATGGCTTCATAATATAAGTTTTTAGTGGAAAAGCAGCGTCTCCTACAATGACTGATTTCTCTGATAAATTAAGAGTATTTCTTTCCAAAGCCTTTCCCAAGCTAGATTAATGAAACACCTCCATCCGAAGCCCTTCTATTGGTTCCAATATCCACATGCGAGAAACAATAATCATGGTCAACTAATGCCAGGAGTATAACGCTGTGAGAACCTTTGTAGTTGTAGTAATCTGAAGAGTCATCAGAAGCAAAAATATTTATAGGTTTTCCATCAATCGCTCCCACACATCCTGGGAAATTCCATTTTGTTCGAAATCCATGTTCAATACGCTTGCATTCTTCATAACAAGGAATCTGAAATAAAACAACTACTTACATTATCATATAACATTTTACACAAGTACAAGTACAGTCGCCTGCAGATAAAACGGACGAACAAACAAACTAAAAGCAGTGAGCGTTGATCTGCAGACGACTGTATCTAACAAATTAAGTAAAAGAACCTATATAAGAATCTAACTGATGTTATTTTTTACAGGAGACAGATACATCAACACAAGATACTGAATCGACACCAACACCAACACCGCCACCGTCGTCGGCGTCGATCTCTGAGGAATCACGCCCATCTGACTATTATTCAGGAAGGCTAAAAAAAGTTAAAAAAATAGGCGAAACAGTTGGTGTTGCTGAGGCTCTAAATCGCTTACAAAATATATCTTCCGCGATAAACAACCGAAACGCAGAAGATGAGTTTCATTTTTTTGGATTGAACGTAGCGTCTCAACTGCGGCAACTTCCATTGTATGAAGTATTAGGCGTACAAAATGAAATACAAGCAATTTTGACTGCGCCTAGACGTCGAAATATGTATCCTAATTTACTTCCAAATACGAGCACACAAACCTACAATAAATCACCTTCAAACATTCAACCCATCACTTCAACACTCTCAGCAAACGCAAACGAACATCCTTCAATCTTCGAACAGCCACATCCTTTCATATTTAAACATTCAACCAGGCACTTGTGCTTCGAACTATTCTACACTTCCACCCTCAAACATACAAAATGACGCAGATACACGCAATGCCCAATCGCAACAAGATCATTCTCAAATAGATTTGTTGAGTGAGGCATGGAAACTTTCGTAAATTATTCGCTATTTTGATTATTATTCTAAATATGAAAACGTGTTACAAATATTATTTGGTGCCACCTTGATTTATATTCGAAATATGATTACATTATAAAACTAAATAAAACCTTTTCAAATATTCATACAAGTAGTAGGAAAACATCGATTCTAACTCATTTGGTAACCCATCCATCAGGTTCTGTTAGTTTGCCCTCTATTTGACCTTGGGTATCTGAAGACTTTGCAGACATGCAAGAAGTGTATCGCCAATGACCAGAGGGTGAGATGTGCCAAAACGTGACGTCATGTATGCAGAAAAAAAGGCCTAAATACCATGTGACACACAAAAGTGAGTAGTGACTGAGAAAAGCTTTATGCATATGCAAGAGACAAGCCTCGCCCAGCCAAGCCTAATTTCAATCATCCTCTAGTCATAATAATAATACTAATAATAATAATATGGGAAGAGAAATAAATGAAACGACGGCGGTAGTGTGATATTAATATATTTAATCGTATATAAAACAACTTATATCTGAAGCTGCGAAATGATGGAATGTGTTTTTGAAACTGTTGATAGAATATGTTTTTCTATTGAAAATAATGTATCCCTGTCGAAGCAACTGCCTTATATTGTATTTTCCACAGTACATAATTGTACTTTTTCGTTTCATTGTGACTGGATAATAATTCAGATCTTTTCCAATTACATATCCAATTGTTTGATTGTATTGATTTTTAATCCCTGTGTCGATGGGACTTTTTTTCCCTGAGTAATAGAATGCTGGATACAACTTTAATTCAGTTCTTCCACGATTATGTAACTCATACAGGTGGAAAACTCCGTCTTCGATGTTTAATATCTGATCAGCAACTACAACTGGTTCATTCTGATAACACGTTGTTAGGGTAAAAAACTGAATGGCTAAAACAGCAGCAGCAATTTCAACTAAATCCAGACAATTCATCTCTGAGTGTGTTCTTCCTTTGAATGGTATATACGTATATATATAAGCTTCTCTACCTATCTGTCCATTTGAAAACTGGATTCTGCTCATTTGACTTCTTGGATACTCTCCGCGTTCGCGTCGAGAACCACAAGATTAGAGAGCCTGCTGACCAATAGTTACGTCGCCGAGTCCCTCGAAACCTCAGACTTACCAGCGTTCTCATACTACATCGGGAGGAAGATGTATACTTTCGAGGACTTCCTTCGAGACTCAAAAGGTCTCCGCCTGGAACCCAAGCAAGGTCCCCCCCCATTGTCTACGTGCGAGCTCTCGCAGACTATTCCATCTGGTGGGAGGCCCCCGATGATGTGTTGGGCACAGTGGCACACTGGCTTGTATACAAGCTCAAGGAAAAAAACCGACCGCAGAGTGTTACCATCCACTTCAGATACCAACCCAATGGTGGGCAGTCTAGAGCAAGCGGTCCAAACGATGCGGATGGATGACCTCAAGACTGTGGTGCTCCCTTACCTGGAAGAGCACTTCGCAGCAGACTTTGAGCGCATCTCCAGCGCGCTCAAAGAGGTTGAAGGCGTTCAGCCCCCTGGTCTCTGTCCCGCCCAAGACAACTACAAATGGGCCCAACTGCTCTGGCACTTGAGAACCCGCTATGCAGCTTGGAGGTTGGAGAACAAACCTCCCGTAATTCCCTGCGAGACTTTCCCCGAGGCGTATAAAGAACGCAAAACTTCTATAGAGGCAGGCAAGTGGGAGGATGATGACATCGTAGTAGTGCCGGTGTCAGGGAGCAAATTCCTGCCTTGGGAGCTGTCCATGCTAAAGCATGTGCGTCCGGACCACAAAATTGTGGCCAATCCGCAGCAGCCTGAAGAGGAGGTGGCCGTTTCTGGTTATTATGACCCCTTCAGAGCGATCGGCAGCACCTTCCTGAAGCTTCCCAAGCTCCCAGACTTCCCGACTGGATCGACAGCATCCAATCAGCTGCCTGCGACTTCTTGCACCCAGTCGAGGGTCCCCCAGACAGCATTGCCAACACCGCCATCCAGGGTCACTTACCATCCGACTGTGGTTGGTCAGCCAGCACCGCCGTCCACTCGCACGGCCTCAAGCGCTTCACGCATTCCTTTTGCTGTGGGAGATGGCCTAGATCCGGTCAGGGAGTACATAAGGCTTTACCGCCTCCACTCAAGTGACATAAACCGTCTCAATGTTGAGCAACGAGAGGACCTTAAGCGAGGAGTGCCTCATGATAGGCCTGTGATGGCAGGCCAAAGGTTTTTTGAGACGCGTTCAAAAGCAGAGCTGGCGAAGTTCGCCAGCCTAATACCACGTGCTCCCACCCCGCTGCGTGCCGCAGTGGAGTCAATAGCCAGCGTTTACGGGACCGATGATATCGATGGTCTCGCGTGGTATCTCGCGTGCAAACTCTGGCTGATGCGCAGCCAGGTGCAAGTGACCCAGGATGGCGGCGAATTGTACGTCAGTCAAAGAAACTAACGTCCCGGATTTCTCTTATATATATATATATATATATATATATATATATATATATATTGTATATCTGTATGTAGTAAGTCTCATACTGTCTTTTTATATTATCCGAAAGGGTAGGAGGAGGAGGAGGAGGGTGATAAATATTACTATTCTTCATTTAACAGCCATATTGTAAACGTTTCACAAACAGAACAATATTGCATTTTTCTTTGTCGTATGTTTGTGTATTGAAGAGTCACTTGTTGGTGTATGGAGTATTTTTCCAGCATGAAACGCAAATATATGAAGGCATGACGTGTTGATGTACTAATCACGAGCAGCGTATTGATTAACAGCATGAACCAACTAGACTATTATAACTAGTAACGCAAACGATTAAATATATCAGTTCAGTTATCACTCATGTGGTATGAAGTACTACGGTGGTGAAGGCTTACTGAATACAGCTATAAATAATTAACCTGTAGAATTACACATCCCAACGTGCAGATACTGTGGTCCTGGCACTAAACTTGCTGAAAGGTTAGCCAGAAATGATCCAGGTGTGAACGGATTGGATGAAGCTTGTAAACAACACGATATATTTTATTCAAAAGAAAAAGATCTGAGTAATCGGCATTTCGCTGATAAGGTGCTGGCAAAACAAGCAATGAAGACGTTTCGTGCAAGTGATTCGTCTTGGAAGGAGACGACCGCCGCATTAGCTGTAGCAGGTGCTATCAAAGCTAAAGTAAAACTTGGAATAGGCTTAAAAGAAACCTTCGAAAGGTACAGAAAACGTAATATAAACAATTGTTTGAAGAAATTACATAAATTAGCGAAAGAATTACGGGTGTCTCAAAAGCTGGTTCAAGACTCTGTACAGATCCTACAAACTGAAAAATCTCAAAAAGCTCAAAAAAATATACTTGCGAATGATAAGGAGAAAAGCAAATCTAGTGAGAAAAAAGTACGAGAAGTGAGAGAAATCAAGAAACACGAAACCAAAAAAAACTCTGTAGTAAAACATGAAACATTCAATGTAAAGCGTGAACGAAAAACTGATATAACAGAAGAAGGGCAAAAGAACAAACCAAAAAAGAGGAAACTGGATTCAGCCTTTACTACTACTACTACTTCATTGAAGGACGAAAAAGTGAAAAAAAGAAAAATAGATTTGGATGATCCAATTATAATTCCTGAGAAAAAATGCAGTACAAAACGTAAGAGAGAATCTGATAATGAAGAAAACGAACAACAACAACGCAAGTTAGATATGAGTGACGTAATTTCACATCCATGGAAACAAAAAAATTGAAAACGGAAGATTCAACCAGATAATGATAATGATCGTGATAATGATGATGATGATGATAGTAACATACCTAGGAAATCCATTAAATAGTACTGTAAAAGTTTTTGAATAAATATGTTGAACTTGTATTGAATAGAAACAGTGTGTGTGTGTGTGTGTGTGTGTGTGTGTGTTTTTCTGTGAATAAAACATTAGTTGTGAAGAAATCAGTTTTTTTTATTCAAAATATCTTTTCTGACAATAATAATATCTCATCATCATCATCATCATCATCATCACCACCACCACCATCACCACCACCACCACCACGTCTACCAGTTGAGGTTGATGCTGATGGTGTTGCACCAACCGTCTGGCTCTAGATACAACTTTCTCTTCTTCTGCAGACTTCCACCACCACCACTTGTCCCTGGTCGATCCTCTATCGCTTGCTGCCTATTAATATCTTCTAACTGCTCGTCTAATAAATTGAATCTATATTTTTTAACTATTCGCTCTAATACTTGGAATTCTGCATCTAATTTAGTTCGGAGATATTTGATAGGCAGCAAGCCGAATTTTCGCTTTAACGTCGCTGCTCTTGGGGAGTAGGTCAATTTGACAAATATTTTGTCGCCACTTGCTTTGATCTCTCTGACACCGTATCTGTTGAAAAAAAACTATTGTCGAATATCTGATTTAAATCTCCAATTGCAAATCGTGCAATTACTTTTTCGGCAATCAAATAAAACCATACAAAAAAAACTCATTTTTCTCGCAATAATACTTTTGTCACTTAACATAATTTAGCTCTGAGGATATGAATAGAACTTGATATCTAATGGCAGACCAGGTGATTGTTTTATTTCTTTTGGGATGCTTTAGAGTGTCTTCAAACATGCTCCGTCTACAACATTACCATAATGTGCGGTAGGACAAATAAAATAATTCCTTTATGACCAACAAGAGGTCATTTATCGGTAAATTCACTGGATCTTCCGTGAACACAATTATGGTTGTTGGTGTTGTTGCCATTGTAAGTTAGTAGCAGTTCTATGACTTTTCACTTGAAACTGATACTGACTGCCTACACACACTAGCAATTTATACAGATATTTGAGGAAAAAAAATCATCCATATCAACTGCATAGAAATGCAAGATGGATGTTATGATCAAACAAAAACTGCATAGAAATGCAAGATAGATGTTATGATCAAACAAAATCGTATGATTCCAGAATTGCATGATATCCAATGTCAGGACGGTCATCATCATCATCTACGTCATTCTCCATATCAAGGGGAAAAATTAGATTTTTTCTGCAGATGTGCATGTTTTTCCAAACAAAATATAGTATCTATTTAAGGTCTGGAGGGTCATCATCGTCATTCTCCATGTGATCTGCAGATGTGCATAGGATGTTTTCCAAACAAAATCGTATGATTCAGTATCAGTGAAAAAAATAGGCATGTTTGATAGATTTTCACTGTATTTAAGCCAGTATCTTGAGCACAGTTGTCATCAGTGATCTAACGTTTAACCATCTGCACAGATCTCCGAAGAAACAATCAGGAGCCAAAAAGTAATCGATGCCATGTCTGACGAATCTGTTAGAATAATAGAAATGGTGAGTAGATTAGTTAGGACAAAAATAGATTACAATTTTTATAGTAAAGAGATTAAAAAATGTATTAGAATGCTTGATAATTGTATCAAACATATAGAGTCTGATTTGTCACTTCTCAAGAGTTACCTTGAATTTTTCAGATGTCAAATAAATCGTAAAAACAAAAATAGAGAACTTGTTTGGGCAAATGTGGATTCATGCTTTAACAATAGAATTAAGTCAGGTGTTATAGTTAACACGTTAACTGCCACCTGTACCGCTCGCTGTCAACTGACATTACCTGAAGCACCAAACAAAATATACGGCATATTACGAAAATGTTTTTGTTGTTTTGTTGATTATACATCAAGCTATCGGCCTGAAACTGAGCACCACATAGCGTATTTTTGACTGGCAGAACGATTTAGTAATTATTTTTTATTGGTAGCCGGCTATACAGGTGGCGTACATGTAATGTTGGCATTTAATATTTGCCATTTGTACTGCCGGAGAAAATGCATTATCCCCCCTACAAACCATTAAAGGCATGGGATTTACAGGAGCGACCGGCGCGGCGGTAGCAATTTTACATTTGATACGATTATCTCGTTTATTTTTTGCTACAAAGAGGAAATTATACGGGTAAGTAAGCACTGTTTATCGTTTTTATCACTCGCCAAGATATAATTTTTTGTATTAGGAATTCCAATAAATACGGATTCGAATAACAGGCCGTTGAGTAACAAGGAATTACTGGATGAAGTAGACAAAATTTTCGCCGAGTCTCAGTCAGGAAGTTCAGAAAACAGCGAAGTCGCCGAGGACAGTGATGACAGCGTCAGAGATCCGGACTTTCAGTACAGTTCTTCCAGCTCTTCGGAAGAGAGGTCTTTGGAAGAAGATCTTTCGCTAGATGGGACCTCTAATGATAATCCTGTTAACAGTGCGACTGTAACTTCTGAATGGAGAGAAGTTACTGGGAGTAATCAGCAAACATTTGCATTTATAGGAAATGAAGGCCTAAACCCAAGCCTGGCTACAACAAGTGGTTTTACACAGTTAAATGCTTATTTCCTGTTCGTAACCAATGAATTGCTAGAAACCATGGTTATATAAACAAATCGAAATGCACAACAAGTAATAGCAAAGCTAGGTAAACCAAAGTCCAAGAGCCCACTTTCACTTTGGAATCCAGTAACAGTACCGGAAATGAGGAAGTTTATCGGAATTGTGCTTTATATGGGTTTAGTGCGTTATCCGAAGATTGAGGCCTACTGGAGCACACATCCCATTTATAGAAATAATCTACTTCCAAAAATAATGCCAAGAAACGACATAAATATGAAGTATCTATCCCAATGAGTACGGTGATGGATCGAAGAACTCACTCGGTTGGGACCCTCAGAAAAAATAGAAAGGGTCTACCAAAAGAAGTTGTGTCAGCAAAATTGAGAAAAGGAGAAATTATAGGTAGAGAAAATGAAGATGGAATCGTTGTCTCTAAGTGGAAAGACAAAAGAGATGCTTTACTGCTCTCTACTTATCACAGTTTGGACTTGGTAAACACAGGAAGGTTAAACAGGAAACGGGAAGAGATTAAAAAACCACAATGCATTATCGATTACAATGCAGGAAAGGCGGGAATCGATTTGTCTGACCAATTGGCGGCATAGTCTTCTCCTGTTCGAAAATCGGTAAGATGGTATCATAAAGTTACCATCGAATTATTGATGGGCACATCTGTAGTTAATGCCTTAGTTGTATACAAACTGGTTCATCCATCTTCGAAAATTTCTGTTACAAAGTTTCTGTTAGAAATTTCGCAACAGGATAAGAAGCGAAAAAAATACAGCACGAAATGAAGGAGACTGAAGAGAAGTGCAAAAGGAATAGAAAAATCAGAGAAAGATGTGTTTATTGTTACAAGAAACTAGCGACAGAGCAAAGCTGGAAACCAGCAGTAAAATCAGCAAAAAACGTAACTACTTATTGTGACACCTGTCCCGAAAAACCTTTTCTTTGTATTAAGTGTTTATATGATGCCATGTTTACTTGTACGCCGAACAACACCCGCATGCTGGAAAATGCACGTAACCTGAACCGCTGGCGTCCAATTGATCTAT